ACTCCACGGCACAAGGGGCACACGCTGGTGCACGCGTGCGTGTGTGTGTGTGTGTGTGTGTGTGTGTGAGATTAGCAGAGGAGCTGAGGCCTGGTGCCGGGGAGCTCCACGTAGCCCCTGCCCCAGCACAGCAGGCTGGGCGGTCCACCCCCTCCCCCAGCGGCCTGAGGGTGAGTCAGGGCTCGTCCTGGTCTGTAAGATCAGCCTGGAGCCTCCCCTAGTGGGTGGGTAGCTAGAGGGACAGTCGAAGCTGCCCTTTCTCCTTCTGGCCAGTGGGCCTGGGCTTCCACCTTGGCCCAGGACCCTTGGTCTGGCTCTTGCCCGTGTCTGGATTCCTCCCCCAACCCCCCAGCTCAGTGAGGTCAGGAAACATGTATTCCAGGAATGTGGGAGGCGGGGTGGCCAGCCCGGTTTGGATAACCATCGGGGTAAATATTTGCCTTGCTCCTGGAGCCAGTACTGGTCGCCAGAGGAGGACGAGGGGCCTGTTCCCAGGGTCATGTAAGGGAAGGCTTCCCTTCTCCGAGGTGGGGCAACCCGTGTCACCCCAGAGAGCCTGAGAGCAAGGTCTGAGGCCATCATCCCTGTGCAGGGCCGGGGACGGGGCCCTCGGGCTCTGGCCCGCAGGACCAGCAGCTGTCCGGCCCCTCTGTAAGATGGGGGTAGGAACGGCGCCCATGCAGCTCAAGTGAGGGGTCAGCGTGGTGGGAGCCGGTTCAGGTCAGTTTAGCCAGCGGTGGGCTAGACCCAGTTTGGGTGGGCACCTGCGTGACCATGGTTCTGGCCCCACTTGGCCCCTTGTGACCTTGAGCAATTGCCCCCTCCCCCAGACTTTAACAGTCACCATTCGCTGACCTCTTCCTGCCTCGGTGGCAGCTGTATCTACACACCCCGTGTCTTGTTAAGCCCCCACAGCCACAGGGGCACAAGGGGCAGCTGTGTGTGATTCGCAGCGGGTGACAGGAGCCCTAAACTTCAGCTCAGGGATGCCATCGATGTAGCCCCCTGCTGTACAGACCACACGGGGGCAGTTCCACTCCCTCCTGTGGCCTGTGGGTAGGTCAATGCTCTGGCCAACATCAGGCTCTACAGGGTCAGCCTGGAGCCTCTCCTGGTGGGTGGGTAGCTGGAGGAGCACTTAGTCCCTGATTAGAGAGGAGATAGGGGCTCAGAGATGCCGAGTGACTTGCTCAGGGTCAACCAGCATTGAAGGGCAAAGCAGGGTTCAAAGCTAGCTTCACCCACTCTTGCCCTTGACCTCACCACTGAGGACAGGGCCATGGCTCCAGCCCAGAATGTGGGCTCCCAGCCCTTGGCAGCTGTAGAGAACTACCAGTCACTCAGCCACAGGCCTAGAGCCTTCCTGGGTGCCCCACATCCTGGATGCCCTCTGGCACAGGCACCTCTATCCTCCCGGAGTCCCGGATCAGCCGTGCATCTCCAGGCCGGACGCAGCCCCCATCAGCTCGGCCGGGTGCCTCCACTCAAGCCCACACCCGGCTCCTCCCAGGGAACCCTGGAGGAGGCGGAGAGGGGAAGGTGGGACAGTCCCCACCCCTGAGTGACCTCTGCCATGTCCCAGGCCCAGCCTTGCCGCTCTCCAGCTGCGACACCTCTGGCAATCCCATCCTCCCTTGGAGCTCAGGGTCCTGCTCTGCAAAGTGGGCGCCTGTCCCTGCCCTGCCCCCGGGAGCTGCAGACACGCAGCCGGAATAAAAACACAGTTCAGCCTGCGGTCCACACACCGCCCCTTCCTGCCCTCCCAGTCAGAAGCTGCCCTGCAGTCAGGGCCTCACCCCTCCCCCCCCCAGCCCCAGAGTGAGAGTCCTGAGCTGAGGACACTCACGAGAGCCCTCTGGGCAGTGGGGTACCATCCCGTGGGGAGACTGGGCGGGCCCCACCACCCCACTCGGCCCTGAGGCTCAGGCTGCTCCCCATCCCGTGGTGCTGAGTCCTTTTTAGGCAGAGAACAGTTCCCTGCCGTGGATCTGTGTTGTTTATGGTTGGGGTCTGGTCAGGCTGGGCACAGCCACCGTGACACCTCGCCCGTCTCCCACCTTTTCCTCTGCCTGGTCTCACCAGGTGGCCAAGCCTACGCAGGCTGTGAGCTTCACCTAAGGGCACCCAGGGGGCCCAGGGCAGGGGTGCACGATATCACTTCTGTGTCCGCAGCCCTGCCCGGGATCCTGCTTCTTGAGCACCCCCGAGCCTGCCTGGGTGCCCAGTGCTGCCTGGCTCTGAGCGGGGCTGCTGAGGGGCTCCGTGGCTGGGCAGGGTGTGGGCTCCCTGGCTGGCTGCCTGGTAGTAGACAGAGTGTGAGCGGGGGCAGGCTGTCTGATCACGTCCCAGCTCTGTTCTCATTACTTATTAGCTCCTGATTACCTGTGTGACCTTAGGAAGTTACAGAACCTCTCTGGGCCTCATGTGTAAATTGGGGATGCTAGTTTAGTCTCTACCTCACAGCACTGCACTGAGAGTTAAAAGAAGCATCCCAGGCACAACCACACTATAGGACTCCCTAACGGCCAGCCTCCTCCTCCTCTGTCTTTCCCGGGTGGGGGCCAATGCAGTCTCGTAGGGAAGGGGGTAAGCCCCTGACCAGGGCCCGAGGTCACATCCTGGTGCCTCTGCTTATTGCCATGTGACCTTGGACAGGTCTCTTCCTCTTTCTGGTCTGTTTGCCCCTTTGCACAAGCCCAGCACCGAGGAACTGGAGTGGCTGGGGGCGGTGAGGCACGCACGTGTGCACAGGGAGCCGGAGCGTCCCTGAGAGGCGGGATGGGCGGACGTCGTGCCTTGGGGCCTGGACTGTGCTCACGAATGAGCAAGGACTTTCCGGCTCTGGCTTCTGTCTCAGCTGCCAAAATAATGGTTTTCTCTTTGTCAGCGCGTCTGCGGGCCAGCTTGCCTTTAGGAAAGGCCTGAGCTGTGGGCAGTGGAGAAGCAGGAGGCCAATTCCAGTTCTGCCCCAGCCACTGACTTGCTGCGTGACCCCGGGCTGGGGGCAGGCGCTGCCCCTCTCCAGGCCTCAGTTCCCTCCTCTGTGAAAAGGGAGAGTGGGAGTCAGTGAGCCCAAGGCTGTTTGTGTTCTTATGGCGAGCAGAGTCTGGGGCTGCCAGAGCCAAAGGGTCAGGATGCGGGGACATTCTCTCTCCCTGTGCGGGAGTGGGGACGCTGGGCGGGCTTTGGGAGCTTGGAGCTCCGGGGCCCAGCGCTCCCCAGGGCCCAGCACCAACCCCTGCAAGGGAATTTATGTCTCAGCTGACATGCCTAGAAAGTTCCCTGCGTGTCCAGCACCCGTGTGTTACCTTATCCAGTCTGTACAGCTCTGAGGGAGGTCCCCTCCTTGTCCCTATCTCTCCTCCCACAGATGAGGAAACTGAGGCACAGAGAGGTTTAAGAAACTTGCCCAAAGCCATACACTTGGTAGCAGGACTTGAACCAGGTTGTTTTGATTACTGAGCCCACATCTCAGAAATAAACACCAGACCTTGCTGCCTCTTCTCGCCCTGGGAGCCCCTGCCTGCTGCACAGTGGGGTGGGGGCAGGTCTGAGGCTCCACCCGTCCCCTGGCCTGTGCCGGAGCTCTTGTTTAACGTGGCCCACGTGCTCCGTCTCCCACTGTTAGCCATGGGCCTCGTTCCACGGCGCTCTGCCCCGCAGGCAGGTTTCCCGTTTCTTAGAGGAGGGCGCACAGGCGCAGGGATGTGGCGTTTGCCCGAGCCACCCCACAGGGCACCGTCATAGCCGGGACTCAAACTTGGGGCTCAGTGGCTCCCACTGTGCAGCCCAGACCCCGGAGAAGCCCCTCTGCTGGGCCTCTGGGTCTGGTCCTCCTGGATTTCCAGGGGGCCCCGTGGGCAGTGGGGGGGCCGGGGGAGCACTGGTGGCCCATTGAGGAGATGGATGGGCCAGCTGGACCCCACCCAACAAGGATGATCGTGCCCCTCCTGCCCCACCGCTTCCCCAAAGCCCAAGCCATGGGGGGCGAGGGCGGTATCCATGCCTCCTCCCTCCCCTTCTCATACCCACCATACCCAGGACACTAGCAGGTCCTGCCACTCCCACCCTCTGCTCCCTCTGCTCCGAGCACAACTGTCTCTGGCCTGGACCCCTGGATCAACCTCCCCACTGGTCTCCCTGCCTCCTCCTGTCCTTCCAAGCCCTCTCCCCCAGTAGCCATGGAGATCTTCTCAAACTAGAACTAGGGTCATGACCCTCAGCTGCTCAGACCCTCCTGTGGCTCCTGTCTACCCTCTCAATGACTGGCCCTGCCTCCTGGCCCCCACTCACCCCACTACCTCCCTCCCTCACTGTACCCTCAACACCACCCATTCTCAAGTCCTCCACTGGGCCAGGCTTTTTCCCCTGTCTTGGAGTCTTCACATACACTGTTCCCTCTGCCTGGCGTGCTGTTCCATGCATCTTGGCCTGCCTCTCTCTGGCTCATCCTTCAACTTCACTTCCCCAAAGGGGCCTCCCTGAACCTTGAGTCCACACTGCGTAGCCCCTGTACTTGTTCTTTCTGGCAGACACCACTTTTAATTATGTATTGTTTGATTCTTTGCTCATTATCTAAGTCCTCGTGAAGGCAGGACCACTATCCTGTTCACGGCTCGAGGTGTTCATTAAATGTTTCTTGAATGAATGAATGCCAAGTGCCTCTGTCCCCATATGTCCTTAGACCCTCCCAGAAACTCTGAGAGAGGCATTGTGATCCCATCTGACAGATGAGAAAACTGAAACCCTGAAAAGCCAGGAGCATCCCCACAGTCACACAGCCGGTCACTGGCCGAGGCGGGTGTCTGCTCGGGGCATCCCATCATTATACCCCTTTTCCTCTCGGTACTTCAGAGTCTCCATCTGTCAAATGGGGATGATTTGGTTTTGCTGGCCGTGAACTTTCCAGCAGGTGGGCGGGTGGGCTGTGGCAGCATGGTCAGTTCCAGGCCCCTGCTGGAGTAACCCCACTGACCCTCCTTCTCGTTGCCACAGGATGGAGATGGAGTGAGGCGGAGGGGCCGTGAGCTGCTGACCAGCACGTGGGACGCTGGTGATTTGTGGGTCTCTGAGGTAGGTGTGCAGTTGGGCTGGTGGGGGGGCGGCTTGCCCCGGTTGCTGGGGAAGAGGCAGGAGTGCCCTGAGTGGGGGACAGGGTGCCGGCCCCAGCACACCGCGCCTTTGATGGGCCCCTCAGCCCTCGTGGGCGGGATTGGGTGCAGCCACCCCTACTGAGACTTCATCAGCCCCCAAATGGGTCATCCCTGTACCCCACCCCCTGGGGCCTCTTAGGCCTGACCTTTCTCTGGAGTGGCTGCCAAGGCAGGGGATAGGGGGATGCGCCAGGAAGAGGGGCAGGTTTGGGGTCCCCAGCCTTGGCACAGCAGCCCCATCCTGGGGTGCAGGCCTCGTGAGCTGAGCAACATGGCAGCCACACAGGAAGAGGCCTGGGTGAGCAGAGAGGCCTGTTCCCTGAAATGGGTGCTGGGGCTGCCCCACCTGCTTCTCTCCCATGAACACATTAAGGTGCGCGCATGAGCACTCATGTGTCTCTGGGCTCGGGTCAGAGTGCGTGTGTTCACATCCTGGCTCCGCCACTTGTCCGTCATGACTTCATGCAGTTTCTCTGTGCCTCGGTTTACCTGTCTGTAAGAGAGGGGTTGGGATCATAGTACCTGCCCCCACAGGTGCACTGAGTCCACCTGGCATACAGTACGCACTCAGGACATGTCAGCATTTTCCTCAAGGATGCTGGGACCCTTCCTTCTTCCCACACGCCTCCATTCCCACCGTCACCTCCTCCCTGAGGACCACCAATGCCAGGACGGACACGAACTGGTCTTCCAGCCTGATGAGGGGACGTGGGGCCCTCAGGGAGCTCCTGAGAGCACCTGGAACAAGAAGGTCCTGAGGCCGAGCCTCTCGGGCCTGCCTCTGGCCTGGACACCAGCGTGTCTCATCACGGAGTGGCATTTCAGGGTCGGTCACACTTGGCCTGTGCCAGAGGGTGACCTGTGTAGTCCCCCTCTGTGGCTCCCAACCCAGAGATGAGAGGCCTTCATGAAAATGCTGACCTGGGCCAGGGCGCTTTGTCCCACGGCTCTGGGGCCCAGTGGGGGAGCCAGAGTCTTCTCCCTGGCGTGCGGCCTCACCTGGCGGTCTCCCTGCTGCCCTCAGCTTCTCTCCTCAGGCCCCAGTGCTCCCAAGTGCCCAGACACAAGGCCGGGTGAGTCCCGGGGATGCTCCAAGCTTCAGTCAGGCTCTGGAACCAGGGAGGAGGATTGCTTGATCTTCCTTCCTGCGGCAGGACATCCTGGCTCCCTGCTATCAGCTGCGTGACCTCGGGCTAGTCCTTTTGCTTCTGTGCGAGTCAGTGTTCTCATCTGAAAATGAGGATAATTATACCAACATTGCTGAGAGGGCTGTTATGAGGATGCTTGGAAGCCTGGAATATTTTTAAATGTCACGGCTTGGTGAGAGTCTACCGTGTACCCAGCACTATGCTCCTTAAATGCGCATTTCTCCCGACAGTAATCCCATGAGGAGGTGTGTTTAATGCCTCGTTCTCCAGAGGCCCAACATGGTTGAGAAACACATGGAGCTATAAGAGATGGAGTGGGGATTTGAACCAAGGCCCTTGGAATTAGGCAGCATAGGATGCCTTAGGGACGGGGTGGAGCCACAGGGCAGCACACAGTAGGTGCTCAGGAAGCAGCCTCCCTTCCTGCCTCGCAGCCTTCGCCCAGCCCTCCAAGCCCGACTGCCCTCAGGAGCCTGAGGGTGGCCCCCCAAGGTCAGCGGTCTGCCCCTCCCCAGAGGGCCTGCCAGCGCCTCAATAAGGTTGGGGGAACCCACTGCTAATTGTGAGGTAACCTTTGAAATTCTCCTTCACGGTGGGTTCTCTTTTCAGATGTTTTTCAAGGTAATTCACTCCCTTTCCAGAAACTGCCAGTGGCAGAGCATTAGGCAGCTGGTAATTAATCATAGGAGCAGCTTGGAGTTTATTCTTTAAAAAAAAAAAAAAGGAACAGAAAGCCTTGGCGGAAAAAGAAAACCACTGCAAAGCGAGGGTGGTAATCAATACCTCAGTGTCCTGGAAACGGCTGGGGTGGGTGGCGGACCCGGCCTTTCCCTGTCCTCCCAGCTGGCAGGCGCTCAGCGCCAGCAGCAGCCCCTGTGAGGCTCCGCCCTACCCATCAGCTCCCTATGTGACTTTGAGCACCTTGCTGCCTCTCCTTGGACTCAGCTTTGCCACCTGTGAAGTGGGTGAAGGGCAGCTGTCAGACTAGGAAAGAATATTAAGTGATTTTCCTTGTTCCCTACCACATCCCAGTGCCTGGCACATGGTAGTTGCCCAGCTGGTATTTTATTAATTGAGTGAATGAGTGAGTGAATGAATGAATGAATGATCATCTTGGTCCTAGTTAGCTATCCTCAATCAAGGAGGTGGTACTGGCTACAGCACACTGTTTCTCTAGTTCTGTTATAATTTGGAGTGGCAACCAGAGTGATGGGCCAGATCTATCACTTTCCAGACTAAGACGAAAGGACAGTCTTGCCCAGCGGACTCTGGCTAACAGAGCTTGGGCCCCTCAGTGGCAACCACGCTGTCTCCCTGGCATCCTCAAGTTCAACTTTCCAAGAGTCTAAGCTGTCAGGAGATTTTTTTAAAAGATGCCTTCTGGAAAGATAGTGAGTTCCTCCTCAGTAAAAATTATGCAAGCTGGGGTTGGGGCTGCACGGGGCACTCAGGCAGCAGATGGGGGTATGGTGGGGCTCAGCGTATTCCCGAGTCTGAGGGGGAGCATGAGGCTCTCCAGCGTGGACGCTGGGGAGGCTGGGCTGGCAAAGACACTCCAGAGCCCATTCCCGGGGGAGCTGGAGGAGGCTGCTGAGAAGGGAGGTTGCCCGTGCAAGACGCCAATGCTTTGGTGCTTGTTCCCCTTGGAGGGAAGGAGGGTGTGCAGGCGTGTGTGTGTGTGTTGGTGTGTACTGGTGAACAGGCGTGAGGATGTGTGTGATTGTCTAGGCCAGTGTATGAGGCTGTGAGGGGTGTGAATGTGTGTGAGCATGTGAGAGAAGGAGAGGACCCACCCATGTGAGTGCCCCGGTGTGCAGCTCCTGTCAAGACCCTGGCACCTCAGGCCGTCTCCACACACAAGATTTGGCTCTGGCCTCACATTCCCACTGGCCAGATGGGCCCTGCCGCCCCACTGACCACAGCAGAGCTGACTAAGGGGCAGTGTAGGGGTCAGGGTGGGCTCCTGAGGGGCCCTGGAGGGGAAGCATGCCCGGGCGGAGAGCACTGAACTCCCATCCTCCAGCTGGCCATCCCGGCAGCTGCCCGCTCCAGACTCACAACCTGAGTGTCTGAGTGGGTCCAGCCAGTCCCCCTGGCAGGAGGGCCAAGTCTGCTCAGGGTGGGGGCTGTCCTATGAGTAGCCCGGCCCACATGGCCCTAGATGTTTCTTTAGTTCTTTTCTCCTTGGCCTCCAAACCCCAGCTCAGGAGTTAGTGTGTGCGTATGTGTGTGTCTGGGCTCCCTCTTGGCAGGAGCAGGGAGATGGTTCTGTCTCCGCGTGTGAGTGTGTGTGTGTGTCCGTCTGTTTGCCCCTCCTGACTGTCTTTGTCTCTTTCTGTGTGGTTCTTTCTGTGAGTGCCTCTCTCCTGCCCAGCTCCCCTCCGTGCTCACACCAGCCAGCCGCCCTCTGCCGCCTTCTCAGCTTCCATTCTCTCTGTGCTGTCGTGTCCACTGCTCCTCTTCAAGCCCCTGTCTGGAGTTTCTCCCTGAGCCCAGGACCTTCTCGCCTCCGCTCTCCTTTCTTTTGGTGACACTCCCAGCCAGGCGTCCCAGCAGCACGTCTGCTCTGTGTCATTGCCTCTATCGTCGCCAAGACTCAGCAGACCTGAGACCTCCCGGGCTCCCAGTCTGCCACCCTTCACCTTGTTTACCCGGCTCTGGCCAGCACACAGCTCCCTCCCGCCCTGCTGTTTGGAGTGTCCGAGGCAGTGCCCCACACTCCCCGCTGCTTGGAGACTGTGAACTGTGTGTGGCCAAGGCTGGGGGTAGGCACCGTCCCTTCCCCGTGGACCTGCCATGCCAACCGCTCGGGATGGAGCCTGGTCTCCTGGCTCAGAGAGATCTGCCCCTCTGGCCGCCCTGCACTGGCCGGGGCATGTGGGCCGCTGGCCACGGACTAGAGCAGGGGAGCAAGAGGGACCTGCATCCACTAACAGAGGTGGTTGGAAACCCTGCCTTTCCCTCCAGCACTAATGAAATTCCAGCTATAATTAGAAGTGGGGTGTCCAGGACCTGGCTGCCTGGCGGGAGCCGGTATATGCTCATGAATAAATTGTCCTCTCTCGAGGGGAGAAGGAACCAGAGGGTGGGCTTGCAGACAACTGCGTGCCTGGAAGCTCAGCGGTCTGTGAGGTGGGCTGGTGGGCCCAGGTGGCCAGATGCCCCTCCACTCACCTGGATACCCTTGGGGGAGCTCCCTCGGTCCCCATCTCGGGCCAGCCCGTGTTCCTGGAAGTGCCTGCTCTGTGCCCAGCCGACTCAGTCTGGCATTCGAAGCCGCCACCATCTGGCCCCAGCCTCCTTTCGTGGCCACATCACACACTAGCCTTCTGCCAGGGCGCAGGCCACAGCTCCCCTGCACCCTCCCTCCCGTCTTTATTACACGTCCCCGCTGCTGCCCCTTTCCTCCTGCGCTTCTTCCTGCCTTGAAAGCCCTCCGCCTTGTTGCCATATGGCTTGAACCTGTGGAGACTTCCTCGAGCCATGCTTCCTCCACAAGGTTGGACATGGCCTCGTCCCCCCTGGGCCCCTCTGATCGTTTCCTCCCTGAACTTTCCTCAGCTCGAGTCCCTACCCTTTATGCTCTTATGCCCCTCAAAATGCTCATCTGACTGCCTGCCGCATCATCTTTTATTTTGTATTGATTACGTATTGGAATGATAATATTTGGGGTATTTTACGTTCTTTTTTCCTGCTAAGTCTTCAAAAGCTGGTGTGTTTAACGTGTTCACCACACTGTGGACTCTGGTATTCAGTCACCATGTG